AGGGAAGTCCCTCCCCTGAATGCAGAAGGGAACAAAAGTGACCCTGAACCCTACAGCCAAAACCAACACAGGTTAAGGCATCTCCAGGAAAATAAGAGTTTCACCCAGCTCAACCAGATTTGCCCATCCTTCCTCTGAAGTTAACATGTTTTTTTTTGTTTGTTTGTTTTTTAAAGCAGAACTCCAACAATTCTGCTACATTTCCAGTGTATAAACCACCCACCACTCTTCCTGGGATGGTCTCTGGCCTTTGGACAGAAGGAGAAAAAGCATCTGGCCAGATCGACAAAGCTGTCTGAACTCATACACTATCTACAAATACTGAAAACGGTGCACTGAGAGAGAAAGGGCATCTGAGCAAACAAGCAGCTGAAGGGCATGAGGAAGCACTTGCTTACATCTTATCTGCTAGGGAATTTTGGCAGGACTCACATAGGGGAGTTCTCAGCATCAATGTACAAGGAAAGGTTGTTGATGAGTTGAGAAAGTGATTTTATGCCTGGTGGTAAACAAGCAGTGACCGATGCCCGGCCTTGGTCCTACTCTCACCCACCACTGAAGTGTGGAAAGACTTCACAAGAAAGCTCCGGGATTATCTCAGCTGCAGTTTTGCATGTCTGCAAACACACACACACATGCACACGTACACGCACACGCATGCACACACACACAGGCGTACACACATCTTTGCCAGTGCCCAACAGAGATCACATCATCTAAGAGAAAACAATGTAGTCCAAACAGTTCTGCCTAACACTCCCTGAGCAGCTCCTAAAATATTTTGAGAGCTTCATTAAGGCACCTGCATCCACAAGAAGATCAAAATACACAGCTGGGCTAAATTCAGCCTTTGCTTTCCAAGCAGACGCTCCGATTTCTCAGTATGAGGAAACGCGTGAATCACAGAGCTAAGTTCCTGATCATTCGGGGTCTGCAAGAGGACCTGGGAGAAAACAATCCACTTTCTTGAAGCCACGCTAGAAGGTAGTTAGTACTTCCAGTTTCTCAGCTGGAGCCCGTCCTGAATGTTTCTTCCCCTTCCTCACTGAAGCCCGAAAAGCCAACCCTCTGTCACCTTCCTCTGAATCAGGCGCCTGTACAGCCGGGGAAGGGGGGGCGGGATCCTAGTTATAGAAGGCGCTATTCCTTAGTGGTCAGATGTTGGTCCTCTCTCCCCAAACTCCATTTTCAGATGACCCTTTACTACACCACAGTTGATTATGTTTGTAGTTCAACTTTGGGAGAACTAAAAGTAGATTTGAATCCCATGGACCACCTTATTCCTACAGCCCAGCTCCTTTCCTAATAGTTCCTATACCCCTTCAAGTCTTCCTTCCTCTGCAATTACTAACCTTCACTTACTACCCTGTGCCAGAATAACCGATCCAAAGCACGGGGCCCTCATAGCATCTGCACTATGCACCTTGCTTGCCCACCCAGTCTCACCTGACACCCGACTCAGCTGCCTTAAACTCTTCAAAGGAAAGCCTTGCACTTCTCCCAAAGACAGCCAAGCCCCATTTTATTCACAGGCTCCCTTCATTTCCATGGCTCCTACAACTCAGGACATCTAAATGGCTTCATCAGATGCTCTCCAACTCATGTCATGTCTGTAGTTACTCTTTCACTCACCCATCAGAAAGCTGTACATCCCTCTCTACTGAACAACAGAGTGGGGGAAAGCAATAAATGTGGGATGCTGGGGAAATGATACACAAAGGAGAAAGTACAGAGTGTTAGTTGGGAATGACATGCATTCAGGACTTATTTCTTAAGGCCTGAGGGGTAATGCCCATGCATACAGATTTTATTCCAAGTCATGTACGTTACAGGTCTAAAACCAGTAAAGAACCAGGTCCATCTTCCCCCTTCGATCCCCTTTCCATGACTTCTACAGTGCTCCTACATTTACTGCGGTCCAAAACCGGGGCTGCAAAATACATTCAGTTCGAAGACTTAATGCTTCTTAGTTCAACGCTAAGTCCAAACTCTGAGAATCCACTAATGACAAGTAAGTAGAAGGGTGTGATCACAATTTTAAAAACTTATAGGTGAAATTCACATGCACAGTTCCCTTGTACCCAAATCAGCCTTATTTTTTCCTCCATACATCAGTCACATGAATTTGGGATCCCCGATCTCAGTGACAGCGCTTTGTCTTTCCAGTGGGGTCTATATAAACAGTTTCCTTTCACTGTGACAGAATCCTCAGCCAGCAAATAAAAACAAAATTGCATGGTACAGCAATACTGAGACCACTTTAGAGCTTAAGACGATTTTTAAGGGAAAAAAAAAAAAAATACTGGCACAAAATTTAATAGAATAAATTTTAACACAAAAACAGTTTTGGTCCCTCCCCACTGAAGTCCATCTTTGTTTGGAAAGTAGAATAAAAGGTAAATAGTCCTTGGTTTTTAGTGCATCCCCCAAAAAAAGGCTTTACCCCACCTCCCTCTCTTTCGCCCTCCCAGACCTAACAACAAAAGGAAATTAATTGCCTTTTATTAGTCTCATGACTCCTGATGCATCAATTTCTTTTGCTAATAGGTCCGTAACTCAAGACACATTATTTTTTTGTGGATGATTTTTTTTAAAAAAATGATTGTGTGGACACGTTAGTCTCTTCCTCCCTTAAGCCAGATCATTCAAGCTTCTAAGAAGGCCCTTGTCTCTCTCCTGAAAATCAGCTCAAGAATTTCCCGTCCCGCCCACCCCACAAGTCCTGGCTCTCCTCTTCCAACGGCGAACAATTGATTATAGCTGCAGCTTACTTAGCCCCCACCCCTGAATGTAAAACAATGAGTTCTGGAAAATTAAAAATAGAATAACAATTAAAAATCAAGAGTCCGACCAACATGGTTGTTCTTTGAAATGTCTCGGCTGAGTTTCTCCGGCCCCTTGGTGTCCATCACTCATCGGCGTCGGGCTTGACATCCAGCATGGCGTGCAGCTCCTCGGGCGTGTACCCCAGGAGGCTCTGCAGGTCACACACAAAACGGTACACATAGCGTTTCCCCGCCGTCTTGTGGATGATGTTTTTGTCATAATAGTAGCGAAGGCCACGGCTCAGTTTCTCATAATTCATCTTAGGTTTGTTTTTCCTTTTTCCCCATCTCCTGGCCACCTGAAATTTAATTTTAAAAAAAGGAAGAGGGGTAAACATCTACAGGATAATCCAAATGTACATGTTTATTTGCCTGCACCCGTCCATGGTGACCCATGATGTTCAAGAGAGGGTTAGAGATCCATGTACATAGAAGTTACTTTTCTGACCAATCTTTTCTGAATTCCGAATTTCAAGGGTTGGGCAACAATGACAGTGAAGTTGATTCTTTGAGTTGATGAAAACACAGTGACCCTGAACTTCTAGGGAATGGAGTTAAAGCATCTGATATTAAAAAATAAAAAAAGAAAAGCAACACTATAGTGTCTCCTCTTACCCTGTATTATTAATAGAATGTCCTTGCTTTGAAAGCATGAAATCTAATGCAAGGGATGGACGGCTGAGCTGCAATCACACCTGCCCTTCATCAACAGAAGCATTTTCTTTTGTACTGGGCACAGGGCTCCTCATGTCTGCTGGAACAGAGAGGTTGTCTCTCTTGTTCATTGTTCTTTATCCTCAGAATTGGGTGTGGCACAGAGCAACAACTCGCCAAGCATTTTTTTGTTTTGTTTTGTTTTTATTTTTGTATTGAAGTATAATTGAGTACAATGTTGTGTTAGTTTCAGGTGTACAGCAAAATGGTTCACATATATATATATGTATATATATATATATACATAACATATATTTTATTTATATATATATATACATACATATATATATATACATATATATATATATATATATATTCTTTTTCAGATTCTTTTCCCTTAAAGGTATTACAAAATATTGAGTAGAGTTGCCTGTAGTATACAATAGGTCTTTGTTGGTTACCTATTTTATAAATAGTAGCGTGTATATGTTAATCCCAAACTCAATTTATTCCTCCTCCCCTCACTAAAGCATTTGTTAATGAAAACAGAAGTGAATGTGAAAATTGTACCAATCTTCCAAGGCCTCTCAAATTGTCAGACCCCTTCCATATTCACAGAGCCACAAGACCAGGGAGGGTGCAAAGTCAGAGAAAGCAACTTGTGTCTACAAAGGGCCTACTAGGTGCCAGGCACTTTACGGGCATCATATCCATTAATCCTGGAAAACAAATGGCCAATGTAGATATTTTCACTATTTTCCAAATGATGAAACTAAGGCTCAGACGAGGTCACCCAAGTAGCAGGTGGCAGAGCTGGGATGTGAACCCTAGAAAATGTCATCAACCCCACAGAACCCATCTCCAGAGCTCTCTCTCATCCTCCCTCAAAAGGAGACTCTGAAGTCACTCCCTTCTTACCTCATCTGGGTCAGAAAGCTTGAATTCCCAGCCATCTCCAGTCCAGCTGATAAAAGACTGACAGGATTTATCGGTGAGTAATTCCAGAAGAAACTGCCACAGCTGGATTGGTCCACTGCCTGGAGACACAAGCCATGGTGAATCATTACACCAGACGCTCCACACTCTCAGCAACTAATCCCATCACAGGGCACTCCCGACCCCTCCTCTCTCAGCCCATCAGCCAGGGGAAAATGAAGGCAACACAGAGCACAAGCGGTACTGGAGGCGCTAGGAGCTTGAACAGACTGAACAGGTGAAGAATTCCTACCAAAACGGCCTTTAACACAGAATAGCAATTGCCTTATTTGGATCGACTTAAGGGTCGGTCCATTTTTATTGCTAAGCAAACTCCAGAAAGAAAACACTGTATCGCTCCTCTGACATATTCTAAGGCAGCATAATCATTTTTGCCTTCAAAAACGAAGTCATTATTTTTGCCTTACAAAGTACTCAAGGTATGAACCAAGCAAGGAATGCCTTTGCCAGTTCCAATCAGAAGTCAAAGCCCATAAGCACCCTCTAGATTAGGGAACCTCTGGCCCCTGACTTTCGAGGGAGAAACATCACTACCCTAGGGTGATCTAACAAGGGAACAGAAGTTAGATGTTCTTTTGGTCGTAATATTCCTCTCTACCACCATCCTGTCCCCCAGGCCACTACCAGCAAGCACCCAATCCAAGAAAGGGAAGATAAGCACTTTGGGAGGAACTAACTTGAAATCTTCAGAGGTCAGGTGAGGACTGTCTCAGAAATTCTCCATGGGTTCAGTATACTCTAATTTATACACACACACACACACACACACACACACACACACACACACACACACACACACGTCTCTTGTCTTAGTCATCAACACTGCCAAGATCTTAGTTCTAGAAGGCCTGACATACTCTGATTATCCATTTATCTTATGCTAAAAGCTTTATGCTACACAGATTTCCTTCCAGGACAGCTTTCTACTCAGAAATGACAATGCTGCCAGTGATTCCTACCTAGTTTATGGGTGTAGCTACAGAGACAGATGTGGGTTCAACAGTCCATGACGCTTGTTACAAGTCTACACTGTGCTTTATAACACCATCTCAGAAGCAATCTGGACACAGTGTGGCTAGGAGAGAGCCAGTCCATGTAGATGAAGAAAGCCTGGCACGCTCTAACTCATACAGGAAAACTTGACTTTTTTTAGACTCTAATCCTCAACCTGAGTTTCAAATTTGTCTGATCCAAAGTAAATTGAGATTCAATAGGAAACAAGCTTTACGTTGCCTCTCAGTCTAAAAAAGAAACGTCCTTTATGACCTCTAAGGGCAAACTTTCATTATGTCTTACACGTCTATAAGGCATGTTCACATGCACCATCTTGCTTGCTCCTAAAAGCCACTCTCTACCCTCCTTATAGGCAAGGCACACTGGGCTGACTGTTTCCATTCTACTCGTGCAGAAAAAGGTGCTCAGAAAAGTGATGTGACGTTGCTCCAGGCACAATTAGAAAATGGTGGGCCTACTGCCCGGACTCCCAGGCACCAGGGTAACCTCGATGGACGCCTATGAGCAAACAGCAGTTGGTTTGGGAGCTTCCTTTGAGCTCTGGGACAGCCAAAGGAAGCAACTGCTATAGCAACAGCTTCCTAGTGGGCCCTCCTCAGCACAGCCCAAGCTCAACAGGGAAAGTGAAATATCTCTACCTCAACCTCACTCTCAGTACTTTAAACCCATCTGGCAAGAAACAGCTTACACCAATTCTAGAATTAAATGATTCAGCAAATGCCTACAAAATATATTAACGTTTGAGGAAACAGTCCCAGGAACTACAATGGTAAAGCCTTATCCTTCTCTGTTTCTACCCCTCGCTGAAAAACAATTTCACGGACAGCTCGGACACATTTGCAGGTTTCTTAGCAGTTGATTAGTCCCCAGCTACCACCCCTCTGCCTGGAGTAATGTCCTAAAGTGACTTCCTACGAGGAATCACTAAGAAGTCATCCGGATGCACAGGAATAAGAAAAGAGATTTCTATTAAGAAATGCTATGGAATTTTTGGTGGCAAAATAATAAGAAAAAAGCAGTTATAATCGCCCTTGTGACATAATAGGCTCCCTGAAGAAGTGGAGAATGAGTATAGATACTCACAGGATCCCTGAAATGAGCCATGTAAGGAAAAATCAACCACTACAGTCCAAAACTATGTAAATAAGCCAGGGAGTTCACGGTCCTCTCCTGGGTCGATACCATATACCACAGACATGAGAGAGAGCGGGGTGCTGTTTTCAGACACCTGGCAAAGGAAAATATGAACAGCAGCTATGATTTATCGTGTACCTACTATGTACCGTAGTAACATGTGATGTTTTATAGCATCTTATTTATCCCTCACAATAAGTCCACGGGTGGAGGCTGTTGTTATCGAATTCGTTTCTCCCACTTTACAGCAGAGAAAACTGACCCACTGTGAGGCTATATGACCTGCCCAAGGCCGCGCAGGTCAGAAGTGGTGTGGCTGGAACCCAGGCAGCCTGACCCCCAAATTCTTCATCTCGACACTCCGTTGCCCCTAGGCAAGACCAACCCAGAAGCTGGCATCTAAACTGCCCACTGGCTGCAGTGGTCCCAGGGATCAAAGGACCCGGCTTGTTAAACACACCTTCTCTTGCCCGCTTCTCTCACAGCAAGCAGTCCAGGACACTGGGCGGCCAGTGGTCCTCCAGACAGCCATCACTAGTGACCTTGGTGTCCACTGCCACAGGTGGCACTTCCAGCCCAGTCAGGTCCCCTCGTGGTTGCCGTTAGTCTACGTAACTTCATTATTTCTCCCCCCACTAGTTACCTTAAAGCCTCTCCCACACTACTTGTCTTAAAATCCCTTTGGGGAGACAAGGGGGGCTAATTATACCAAGCTGAGGAAAGGGAAAGAAATATGGGGATTCTTGTCCCCAGGCAAGTCCTGGCCATTGGCTGGGAACAGCAAGCACATCCCGAGTCCGGGGAGGGCGGTCCAAGAGCCACCTCCATCCTCCACCCTCGAGACGTGCGGCCATCAAGTGGGGAAGGGGCTTTGATTAGCGTCGCTGGGACCGGCGCGTGAGGAAGGGACGTCAGACAGAACTATTGCCACTGCTCATGCTGCCACGTCCCGAGCTGAGATGTCCAAGCCGCAGGCCCTGCAGCTCCAGACCGTTCTCTGTGTGCATCTGACCCCTGGTGTCTATGGATGTGGCCGAGGGCGGGGTGAGCCCTTGCGTGTGGGTGTTTTTGCTTTTCCCTCATTGTGAGTCTTCCTTTGCTCATAAGGAACGTAAAACTGAAATCTGGGAACTGGGAGGCCAGGTCCTAGATGTGGTGTCCTCTCTCTTTTTTTTTTTTTCCTATTTACAGAAGGGAAGAGGGAGGATAAATACGAAAACCAGACGCCTAAAGAAAGCACAGGGCCTGGGATGGGGAGTCTCTGCTGGGCTGCACAATAGCAAAGTCAAAACAGCGGTGATGTCAGCTCAAGGCTCCTTCCTCAGTTTTTGAGGAAAAATCCAGCCAGCCCACTCAGGGCAACCACGCACACAGGGCTCCCACCCAGGGCTTTCTGGACGTTGCTGCTAACCCTTCAGAAAGCCCTCACGGTGACCCCGAACGAAAGGGATCCGTGATGCCTCCCAGAGACTCCTCTCTTGTACACTTCTGCTGACACCCCGACCCTCCTTTTGGCTGTGGAGGCAACAGAAATGGGAAGGACATGGGGTTCTTTTGCCGGCCAGAAACGCTGGGTCAGGGCAGGAATGTGGGCGTCAGGACGGCTCGTCCGCCGGCTGGACCAGTGGACAGTCCAACGCGGGAGCCTGTTTCCACAACAACGGGGTTGTGGGAGGGCCTGGGAGGGGAAATCAGGGCCACCTGACAGGCCAGCACCTGGAGGTGGCTCTCGGGTCCCTGGTGACACTGACCTCCTGGCCAGCACCCGAGTCCAGGCCCAAGGGAAGTTCTCAAGCCCCAGACTTGTGCAAACAATGGCTGAGGCTGGCCCTCCCGGTCCGAGCTCTCCCAGGGGCTGTTTCTGCAGCGCTTGGAGTTGGTCTGTTCAAATCCTCAGGGCCGGGCTCCATCCCGTGCCCTCCCTCCGACACGCCCTCACGTGGTAAAGCCTTTTCCTCTATTTTCCTGGCACCTCCTCTCCGCTCTGGGCCCAGGCCCACACACCCACCCAACTGGACTGTGGTCCCAGTGACCTTTGTCCCAGGGAGCAGAGAATGGTACTAAGAATAGTGCCAGTCATGGGAAGGGGGAGCTCATACACCAAATGTGACTCACAATGGTGTCCCTGTCCAGGGGCCCCGAGGCAGTCAACAGCGGCCTTCACCAGGCTGCCCTGGGGTGTCACACTTCAGGAATCCAGTGGCATCACTGGGAAACTATGCTTCAGAGCTCTGAACCGCAACAACAGAGGGGTCCCTGTTAGAAGGAAGTCTCTCCCCCAGGGCGGTGCGGGAGGGAGGGCCCCTGCCCCACTCACACACACACCCCCACCCCGCCGTCGGCCCCCTCCCTGGCCGCAGTGGGGAATTTCCTCTGACTGCTTTGTTCTTCTCGGCTTCTGGGGGAAAGAGGAAAACTCTTAGCGCAACACTGACAGTCCTGATCTGAAGATTGTGACACAATCTCAGAAGAGATAATATCAGGTGGGTACCTGGAGGGACCGCAGGCCAGCAGAGCAAGTCTCACGAGGATGCTTCCCTCCAGAGGGGACCCTCAAAGCACTTCAAATCCAAGGCTACAATCTCTTTTTTTGTTAAGGCGAAGAAGCTTCAAGTAAAGTCTTACTCATTTGGTTGTTTATGTCCCTTTTCTTTGTCTAGGGACTGGGAGATCCCCATATCCATCTCAATGAGACAGGGATGGTTATTTAAAAGCCCCTCCTGTTTCACTCCCTTGCTCCGAGGCTAAGAAGTGAGCAACTTTGGTAAAAGGAAAGCAACGGGCTAGGATGGGATGTTAGAAAGGTGCTCCAGAAGCTCAGGATCATAATTCCTTCCATGTGGCCACGTATAGGTATCTCCTCAGTTTCTAGGCTTGGGGGTTGCCTGCCATG